CTTTTAACTACTGGTTCAGACTCAGTCAGTGTTTGACCATCAATCTGTGCAGACTGATTCATTATTAACCACCGCAAACAAAGGATAACATTGTTTTCTTAAACACATTAAACAAATTTGGGGTTATCAATTAAAAGGAACCGAGCTGTAAGCAATAAAGAAACACTGAGGGTAAAAAGTATTAGAGTGCTGATCAGTCAGAAGTCTTTAATCAATGGGTTTTTATTAATGTTTGTTATCATTATTTAAAGTAAGATCAAAACAGTCACTCCCAATCTCCAGGTTTTTAACCGATGACTCAAACAGTCAGAGAAATTGTTTTTGTAATTTTGTAATAAACAGAAAAATATTTTATGCCTTGTACTGATATAAGCTACAGAATTTGACTTGACTGTGATGGTTGATTAATTAAAGACAAAGGTATAGCTAAGCAACTTTTGTTTAAAACTTATATGTATAATTGTATAATTTACAGTACACAAACTAAAAATATTCTCTGGTGACTCAGTTCCTTTGCGGTCTTACAGCGCCTCCTCTGGTCATTCATAAATAGTACAGCTATTCAGGCATGTGAGTCTGATGCATCTAATCTAATCCAATATCACTGCTGAAGTGAATTTTGCTTTATATAGTTAAATATGATTTAAAAAACAAATATTATAAGGGTAAAATCCGACTGATAACATAGATAAATGGACATGCTGAATTCCACCAAATCCTCAAAGGTGACACATTTAGAGCACAGAGCAGACTGTGATTGTAAGCAGTTTACTCAGTCCTTTCATGGCCTTTGTCTTAAAGTCTTCATCCCAGGCCACTGCAGGGAGGAAGATGCTGTTCGTCACAGCGACTGATAGAAAATATGAAGCATCTTGTTGCAAATATGGAAGAAGCTGAGTTGAGTCTCCTTAGGAAGTAAAGCAGGATTTTGGCCCTTCTTGTAGATGGCCTCTGTATTGTTGGATTAGTTCAACTTTTTAATGTCATTATTTATGCTGTGACTCATTGCTGATGTAAAGCCAGTTGTTTGGGAGATTAATTGCTGAAGGAAGGAAAAACTTGCATTTTTTTGAAAATGAAATGTATAAAATGACTTCTCTTAATTTTCAATAATCTCCTCAAAGCACAGTCAAACACGGTATATGCAATATTTTAGGAGTGTTTGTTTCTTAACTGGTTTTATGTCTTTTTTGGTCAAAGAGCTCCCCCCCTGGTGATTTTCTTTATCTACCTTTATGTTCTGAGGGGTTTTTGTACAGCTCTGCTGCTTGTTTGTGTCACTTTGGTCGTCTGGCACAGTAATACACAGCAGAGTCTTCAGGCTGCATAATCACTCCATTCAAAGTCACTGTTTTACTGAAAGTGTCTAAGTCAATACTGAACTTTCCAGTCCTTTTCCAGCAGCCTGTCTGATCCAAGCTGTGTAGTAGCTGCCCAGATCATAAGAGACCTGACATCTGATGGTCAGACGTTGACCTGGCTGCACAGTTAAAGATGCTGGCTGAGTCAGAGTTTCGAATGATACATTTGTAGAGAAAACATTTAGGATCAATAAATAGACAGTCAGTTTAGGATCATCATGCTGTAAATGTTTCTCCTTCAGTCAGACTCACAGGATCCAGCAGCCAGCAGCAGCAGCAGAGCTACAGAGAACATGTTGGTGTTGAAGATGATCTGATGGGAGTTTCTTTACTTCTGTAGCTGACAGCAAATCAGTCCTTTAAACCTTAACACTAAATTTACATAATGGGAGTCAGTTGTATAGATCCTTTCCTGAAACCTCATTTAATGTAGCTTATAAATAAATAAAAATAGATTACAACAAATAAATTAAATGCATTTCATAATAGGCTTTTTTATTTTATTCATTTTACCTACAGTATGCTATATAAACAAGTAAATGATTTTTAAATTATTACAAATTAAATATTTTAATTTGCTTGTTTTTTTGTTTGTTTATTTTTCACCACCAATGTTTCTGTGTTTGGCAAAGTGGTGCTTATTGAGCCTCTAGGGTCTGGGTCATGCCCTGTAGATCTGATTTCAAATATAAGTCAGTATTTTCCGGTTAATTTAAACATTAAAATTAAATTGGAAACTGAACTAATTTAAACCAGTTTTTGTACTTCAAATAGAAAGTCTAGTCATGCCATTATGTTTATAGATTAGTGTAGTATTGAAAGGATAAGGATTCTATTTCCCTTTCTGCTCAACAATAAAGGAAAATAAAAAAAAATACTAAAACATAATGTCAAATCCTGCTCTTAGTTGACATACAAAGTTTATTCCAGATGACTAATAATTCATTTCCTTTCCATTTACCCTACGACAGCAAGAGCTACAGTGCAGTTAAACCTTTTTTTTTTTCTCTCTAGAGTAGAATCAGTTATAAGTCATTAAAATCCTTCACTGTATCTAACCTTTATTGCAAAGACTATGGAAAAGATCCCTTATGATAAAGGTGATCTCCTCAGTCCTTTAATGCCGAACCATGAACCATTACAGCAATAACAGTATTTATAACTTATGTCTTAGTGGTATTTAATCTAGTGTTGTATTTGACACAGTTAATCTTAACATACGGTTTAATGAACTGGAAATGTAGGTGAAATTGGCTGATATTTAGCTAAAATGGTTTAGATCGTACTTGGCAACCAGAGCTACTTTCTGTCCTCTGATAGATATAAATCAGGATGAACAAAAAGTATATTTGCTGGTTTCCCAATTTTCTATTCTTAGGAAAAAATTGCATGCATCTATTTTTATGCTAACCAAACAAAATGTTCTATGTTACATGTCACCACATGGCCCTTGTCAGATTGCTCACTAAGTCACTTTTTCTGATCCAGGCTTAATTTTCTTCAGAGTGATGGAGAAAAGACAGATATTTTTTTTTTGTTTCCTTCAAATTTGCTCTGTGAAAAAAAATTTCAAATGGCATCCATTGCTCAGTAGATCTGACTTGTGTAACAGTGTAACAGCTAAAACTAATAAAAGGGGACAAAAAAAAAACTGGACATGAATTTAAAAGAAAAATTCAATGTAAAGTTAAATATCTCAATTTTAATATCTGTTTCTTTTATAAAAGAAGTTTGGATTGAATTGATTTGAGTTCAAATTATAGTATACAGATAATTAACTTTTCCTTAAATAGTTATTTTGAAAACGTGCTGATATTATTCAGGCATCCTTTCTATAAAGTGTCTTGAGATGACATGTGATTTGAAGCTCTGCCATATAAATAATTTTAATAGAAATTAATTTATGTTTGAGGAGGGATTGCCAACACTATACATGCATTTATATACATTTATATACAAGCTGTAAAAACATGTTTTTCAATACACAAATTTTGAGTCCATCTTAAGTCTTCTATTTCCTAGGTTAGTACTGGTACCTCTTCATATGACTCGATACACATGAAGAAGCCCTCAGTTTCAGAAAGATTGTCTTAGAGCACGTTGGATGATTAGAAGTAAAGTTCAGTGACCCCTGTGAAACGAGCTTGACATTTGCATATATGAAACCTTTAGCTTGACCTAAGATGTTACTGCATAATCA